ATTTGTATGAAACTCTCCACGAACCGAATGAACCTCCATACCAAATTTGGTGAAGTTCCACCTACAGGCGGCGAAGTAGTGGTAAAAAACGCAAAATGCAAAACTGAAAATTTGCATGTACCCCCGCATGGATCTAATGAACCTCCATACCAATTTTGGGGAAGATCCATCCACACCCTGCGAAGTAGTTACATAAAACAGACGATACTGTTATATTTATACAGATAACACACCATATTGAAATGTAATCTATAACGAGAAATGAGTAATTAGATGAGTTCAACAACTATTACTGTTCTATTTTCTGCCTTGCTCTTTTCCAGCCCCCGAGTGGCACAGCGGGATGTCTGCGGACTTACCACGCTAGAATCCGGGTTTCGATACCCGTGGTGGGCAGACACAGATAGCCCATTGTGTTGTTTTGTGCTTAACTTCAAACAAACAAGCTCTTTTCCAGCATCAAAGACCAATTCTTTAGATGGACTAAAGCAATTTGTTCAGGCTTTAATCAATACAAGAATATATTTTAGAAAATGCTTTTAGTAAATAACAACACCTGTAATGAAGTAATTGTGTAGCTTTGTGCATAAATTCAAACAAACAAACAAACGTATACCTGCTTTGACGAACTTAATTACTTAATTTCAACTTCTAACCCTTGTCGTTTTATGTTCTCTCTTCTGACGAACTTTGGGAAAATAGACTAGTAAAAATTATTAATGACGTGTTTACACTATATTTCTAATTTTTAAATTTACAACATTTTAAACAATAATATACCTTTGTTTAGGTAAACACCCGGCAACTATAAAGCCGTATTGCATATTGTCTTTCTTTTCTCTTATACGCTCTCTGTTTCCTTTCTAATTATAAATCAAGAATTATTTCTTTAACTTCGTGTACAGCCGATTGAGGGATATCTGCTCTAGACGTCCCTAATTTTGAATTAAGAGGGAAGGAAGCTAGTCCCCACCACCCGCTGCTAACATTTAGGCCACTTTTGTTAGACCATAAAGTGGGTTTGACTGTCAGTCTTATAACACACCCTCGGCTTCAGAGTGGAGAGAAGAATGTTTTAGGTGGTAATAGGGCGCGAACCACGAAACCTGAAATCCACAGACTTTGACTTATTGTTGTTGGTGTCCCAAACTGTAAGAAGTTCATAGCAATGTCAGACTGTTATATATACATCCATAGTTTGGAAGTAGTGTCAGAAAATATACTGTTCAGATTTCGTATGTTTACATAATTCTGAACATTGGTAAGAAATCCAGTAGGAACAGATGCTAGGTTTTTGTCAGAAAATTACCAAAACTCTCCGGCCGCCACGATACTTACACTGACAGACACTACCGTACATATCCTCCAATACCGTACACGTCCTCCTCCAACGGTCCCATTCTCTTCTGAAACTTCCAACCGAATTCGTTTTGTGTGGAAAGCTGATATTTAACTTGTATAAGGAAAAAAATATAAAAGTGATAAAATGTTTCCGAGTTTGAAGGCTAAACCACAAGCAAAGTGATTATCTCAGAAATCTCGGCTGATAACATTTTTCATGAACGCTTTTGTTATCTACTTGTTAGTGTTTGATTTGTTATTAAGAAATGATATTTGCATTGTGGGATATATATGTCAAGTATTAATAACAAAATAAGTGTGGTTTCTTTTAACGATTGAAAGCTAACACTACAAACGCTCTCAAAAGTCAACATTTGGGTTGCAACTACCCTGTGATAAATGTCACTGTTGTGTGACGCTTCGAAGTGTACTTTGGCTGTAGTACTCGCAAAACTGGGTTGTAACTGTTCAGCGTGTTTTGATATTCTTTATGTCCCTCTTTAATGTGTTTGTTAAGCGGGACGCTATTTGTAATAGATGACTAATACAACAGTGAGGGCACAAAAGCGAATAGCCAAATGATGCATACCTTTCTTGAATTACGATGGCCATATCGAAACAACAACAAACAAACGCATGCACAGATATAAGGAATATGTAAAAAGAGGCCTTAAATTTTTTTTATTAAATAAGAAAACGTGTGAATGTATATATATATATATTTATGGTTTATTATAGATTCATAATTAATCTTTACAAGTCCTTTACTGTACCTGAAGGATTTTAATGAAGGGAGTAGGCTGTTGTGAACAGAAGCTGTGGAATACATAATTATAATGCCTAAGGCCTATCAAGAAGTTCGTACCTCACCACGAAATAAGAAACGTTTCCGAAACTTTAATCTTTATATGAGTTAAGAAGTTACACAGTAAATGTATTTCTGTTGTCTTGAGAAGTAATATTATTTTCTTAAACAGTTGTGTTAACTTATGTAAGATGTCTTAATGGTTGTGGAACGGCTTTACGAATGTCACAAGAAAGTGCATCGGTACTTCAACGTCAATTTTCCAAAAATACAAAAATTCAAACTGTAATACATACTTGATATATATATATATATTTACGACGTGATGTTATACAAATTGAAACAAAATTAACACCAAAATAAAATCCACAAAGAACCATTAATCAGTAATATGGAGAATCTTATTTTTATTCATATGTTCTCTAATGATGGCTGGTGGTTAGGGCGCTCGACTCGCAACCTGCGGGCCACAAGTTTGAATCCCCGTCACCAAACATACTCGCCCTTTCAGCCGTGGGGGGCGTTATAAGTTACGATCAATCCACTATTCGTTGGTAAAAAAATAGTCCAAGAGTTGCCGGTGGGTGGTGTTGACTAGCTTCCTTTCTTCATGTCTGTCACTACTAAATTAGGGACGGCTAGCGCAGATAGGCCACGAAATTCAAAACAAACTATACTCTAATGATGGATTGTCAATCACTTTTTTAACTCTCACTGCCATATGCAAAAATATGTTTCCCTCTTCTTTAGAGCACTACTGCAATGTGAGTTTGGGATTTTGGATCAAAATGAAGCAAAGGTATTCCTCCTTCTCAATGTTTACCCGTTTGGGATAAATAATGAAATATTAAAGCATGTGTCATTTTGTGTGTGTGAGTAAATATATACAAGAATTATTTGTTTATAAATAAGGCAGTAAAAGAATTAAGTAATTTGTGATTTATCGTGCCCAACTGACACAACTAAATTTTGTTGTATACACAAAATCGTTAATTAGAACAATTAAATCTCGTTAGATTTAGATTGAAAAAATATTTATTAAAGATATAGCTTCTGACAGGTCGCATCAGTGCTCAAGAATACAAATTTAATTTAGGCCTCCATTATATATCTTAAAGATTTCAACAGAATATATTTTATATGAAACTGTCCCGCCATTGTATTATAAATAATTACCAAAGTGACAAACAGTTGATAATGATACGTGTATTAACAAACATCAGTTATTTATTTTGAACTATGATAATTTGGTTAAAATATAGAATAATCAAAATACTTGTTTGTTTCGGATAATCGTCTGGGCTACCTGTGCCAGCCGTCCCCAATTTTGAGGACAGAGGAAGATAGCTAGCAAACATCACCGACCACCAGCTCTTGGACTACTATAATCTAATAGCGGGAATTGCCTTTTATTCACATCCAAAGTTCGAAGCGTGATTCTGCGGTAATGGGACGTAAACCGTGGACTCTCGGATTCACAGTCCATCTCGATACCTACTTGGCCACGCCTGGCCTATAGTCAAACATAAAGGTTCAACTAAAAGTAAAAAATCAATTCGACAAATTAACAAGTGGAAGATGAGTACTGCAACCGAACTAAACATTTTTGATGAAAATCTAGAAAAAACTATATTTTCAACGATACAGCATTAAGTGCTATATAATCGTACATAGATAACTAGGTAGACACCCAATATATATTCGTCCATTATAATTAAAATCCTTGTAGAATATTAGATGGCAGGCATGGCCTGGTGGTCAGGGTGCTTGACTCGCAGTCTTAGGATCACGGGTTCAAATCCCTGTCATCGAGCATGCCCTTTCTGCCGTGGAGGCATTATAATGTGACGGTCAGTCCCACTATTGGTAAAAGAGTAGCCCAAGAGTTGGCGATGGGCGTGTTAGCTAGCTGTTTTCAGCCGTGGGAGCGTTATAATGTGACAGTCAATCCCAATATCTGTTGGTAAAAGAGTAGCCCAAGAGTTGGCAGTGGGTTGTGTTGACTAGCTGCTTTCCGTCTAGTCTTTCACTGCTAAGTTAGGACACTGCTAGTGCAGACAGCCCTTTGTGCGAAATTCAAACCAATATACAGAATAAAAAGTTAGAGGGAATAAGAGGTCTATGCTGAACCTGACCCTCCCTGGTCCAAAAGATAGACCGAACTTCAATGAAGATGAAGAACTGGAATATAAAGTCTTGATGGTCAAATAATAATTGACTTACTGTATCATTATCTCATTGTTATGAACTAAAACAACCATCAATGTATTTATAGTTACTTTGATGTAAGTAAGGTGGACATATGATTGATATGGTGAGATAATTTTCCTTACATCTGACACCAAAAAGACATATTGTACAGTTCAGTTGTAGTACCGGTTTCAAACCGCCATATTATGCCTAGACTTCACTGTTGTAATACCAGTATAAAACCATTATGTTAACTTTAGCCCTCCTATTCTTTCAATTGGTGAAGTTTTTTTAAAGTTGGCTGAAGTTTATTTCCGATGTTTCAACAACTACATATGTTTTGTTTTGTGTAGAATTTCATTTATAGTGTATCATAACCATTTTAAAGATTATCTGGTTGATAAAGATATTTTTCCTTAGTACCAAATTATCCTATTTAGTTGAGAGTTTCAGTTTAATGCCTTGCTTACTGCCACATTTAAAACTGTACTCTTTGTGAGAACTTTTAAACAGGTTTATAGCTTTAGTAGTTTCATGCTTGACTTAACTCGTTTAGTGTTTATCACCAAGGCGTGTTAATAAGACATTGCTTTAAAATGTTATTTTTATAGCTTGTTATGGTAAATCACAGTGAAGTTAAGAAACATATTTTTAATTGTTACAGGTTCTTTGGCATTTGGATATATTCCGGAGAAGTTTCCGAGAGATCAAAGGACATGCGTGTATGGGAGAATCGTGTATATTTTGTGCATTAAAGGTATGTTCAAAGAAGGATCACCAACAAAGTTTACTGTGCATGTTTCAAGAGGTACACTTAATTTTAGCTGTGTCTTGGTGAGGTTATAACGCTTTCAAAGACTGTAAAATTAAGAAATAAAAGACACATACAGAGAGAATGAGAGTTATATATTTCATAGAATAGTTGTGGTCCTTCACAAGAAATAATAACATTATGACTTTTGTATGCCTTTTATATGAGCAGAATGAATTTAGAACTTCAATTCTTTGAAATGCCAATATTACATACTATCAATTTTAATACTTGTCATTTTCATGATTCAATAATTGCTTATGGGTAAATCTTTATAATTTTCAAAAGCAAAATGTATTTTTAGCACTTAATGCAGTAATAATTTGCAGCCCAACCTTCTTCTTTAAATGAAAACAAAAATCAAATGAAAATTTATGTTTCTATGTAGGAACTCTTTGCTCAATTCCAATATAGCCAAGAGTCTGCTTTACCACCAGATGCTTTGAGACGTGCTTTAGCAGAAACATTTTTTGACCAACGTCGTTTTCAACTGGGTTTCATGGATGATGCAGCAGAATGCTTTGTAAGAATGTGTTATGTATTTGTTTTTCTCAACACAAACAAAATCAGAGTAAAGATTTTTTTGTCACAATGATATAAGTTATAATTTGAGTTAGGACAAGTAGGGGGGTTGCATATGAGGACAATCATTCTTTTTTAGATTTTTTTAAGGGGTACTAATACTTAGTATTTTCTCATAATAAAAATTTAACATGTACTAAAAGTTTCAGAAAAGCTGGAAACAATCACTTCTCTGGAAATAGAGTCTTCTTTCTGAGCAAAATAGAACGATTCTCGGTCATCTTTGATATTCTATGCTAAAGGAATGTTAAACTCAGGTTGTTTGAGAATGAATTGCTCGGGAATAAAATAATAGTTTATCATTTCTCTTTATTTTATTTGCTTAGTTTTGAGGATTGATTAATGTGCTTATTTATATTGTGTAAATGTGCATTACGATAATCATATAATTTCATTATGTTATAGGAGAATATTCTTATGAGGATCCACTTTCACATAGCCAACCAAGAACCAGAAGACATGTGTACTCTAACTCACTGTATTGCTCATCAGAAATTTGCTATGACTTTAGTAGAACAGGTAAACAGTTGTGAATGTTATTTATCTTGTCATCCAACCTATAACGTCCAGTCATTTCAGGTGCTTAAACTCATTATATGTAATAAAGTTTTACATGTTTTAGTTTAATGTCTTTGGTTGCTATTAAACATGATACTTACAGTGAAACCAAACATGAATAAATAAAATTAGGTAAATGCTAAAATTTACTTGTTATTCAGGATAGGGTATATATATTGCTTTATCACAACATTGTTAGTTCGAAAACTGTAGAGTGAAAATGACAGAGTATCTTTTAAACTCTAGATTTTAAGTAATAGAAAGTTATAGCTGTTCACAACATGTGATGGCCAGGACTACAGTACAGGAGTTTGAAACTGGTGTTGTAATCGAACCAGATGATGTTTTTTAAATATAAGGGAAAGGATCTTCTTTAACAATGTCTAATAGGTAGTCTTATTTAGATAGGTAGGTAAGCAGATATATATATATATATACTATTTTTTAATCCAATTTAAATGTAAATAGTGTTATGTCTCTGTATGTTTGTTTGTTAATTCTTCTTAGATACAAGTCCTTTTTTTATAAAACTTGTTTATTCTTCCTCAATACCACTTTGTAATGCACTTAATTTTCACAGTTACACACACTATAGTTCACAATAATTCACTCACTTTCTATCGCGCTTAGACTTAATTGTTTGTCCCCACCAACTATAGTTCCGATCTCTGTGTCTGCTATCCTCAGTTCCCGCCGACCGTAATCGCCGTCTTTCTTTCTCTCTGCCTGCTTCGTCTCTGCCTCAATCTGTCTCTCACTGTCTAGCACACTTACATACGATAATACTGCCTGTTTTAGAAACTTCTAAGACTCTCAACACGTGCTACCAGCGTCACTTGACTTCCGCTGTCGTAACACACTAGCGAATCTTCTAGAATACTCGTCACGTGACCCCCACTGTCGTAACAATAGTGTTTAAAAACAATGAACTCCAGGTTTTCCACAAAACATTTTACAAAACTATGATATATATATATATAAAGCTGATTCTAGTCCCCAGACATAATACTTAATACATATATAATACATAATACTTACACTTGTTATTTATGAATCATCTGGATTTTGTCTAGAAATATAAATTAATGGACAGTTCTTCAACTAAATCTAACATCCTTATATATAATTTTTAATACTGGCTAGTCATGAAATATCTAGACATAATTGTACTTACTAGTTATGAAACATCTAGGTGTTTTTAGTATAGAAATATAATTTCTTGAATATTTTTTCCGTTGATTCTAACCTTTATATTTAATGTTAAGATTAGTTACTCTGGAAAAATTCTTGTTATTGGTATAGAAGTATAATTTAATGTATAGTTTGTTGGCTAATTCTAGTCTCGAGATAAAATGTTTAAACTACCTTGTCGTGAAATATTCAAGGTAATAGTATAGAAATACAGAAGATTCAGTATATTATGCTAAAACAATTTTGATTATGCAAATCAGCAAGTCATGTGACAAGTACAGCCTATATAAAACTGTGGTGGAATAACATTTAATGGAGCTATATTTTGATACTTTTTGCTGTTTCTTGGGTTGTGTGATGACACCGAAAATTGATCACTTTTGGGAGAAGTAGATAAAAGCCCATTACAATGCAAAATGTTCACATATTCAGCTGATAAAGGTGTATTTGAATGGAGAGTTTAAAATTTCCAAGATGGGGATATCCTTTATATGTCATGGCATTGGAAAAACAAAGAAATATGGGGGATTCTGAGGCATTAGAGTCATCCAGAAAGAAACCCGCAAGAAATTGTAACACAACTGTAGTAAGCAAAGTGTGGGGTGTTTTAATAGATAATAATCCATGAACATGCCTCAAGCAATAGCATTCAACACAATCAAGAAAGATCTACACGTGGAAATGAAGTCAATATGGTATGGGTTGGTTTACCAAGATAAGCTTCCAGTCACACCTCTTATTCAATTATTGCATATCTCAAGCAGCTAGGGAATGAAATGGGTAATTATGCTATTCCATATGAAGATATACTGATCATAGATTTCTGTGAGAGCTAGCAAACTGTTATTCTAGTGCACTAGATGGAGTATGGAAAGCAGGCAGGGAAGAGTAATGTGCTATGGACATGACAGCATTTATGACAGAGTCTTAGCAATGGAAACTGTGCTGCAAGGTCGTCAGATAGAGCATGACCGGACTGTAATGACGTTGTGAAGTTCCAAAATCATTTTAATATAACAAACTGAACCTCTTCATAACCAGATGAACAGCTTATTAACATGTTGAGTGCTGCGATGCTTGGCATCATCTTCATCTATGACAAGTGCTAATAAGAGTTTTAGTGCAGTATCGTTGTGCTCAGTGTAAACAATTGTAATAATAACAAATCTAAAACATTTAATTTTTGCATTTTTGTATTTACGATACACATGTGCATCATGAACATATGAGAACAAATGCTAAATGCACACATGCACGTCCTTAGCACTGAACATGTTAACTGATTCTAGCCTCCAGACATGATGTTTAGGCTGGCTAGTCATGAAAAAAAACAACATCTTATTGGTATAAAAATATTTTCAGCTGATTTGTATAGTTTTTTTTGTTTTTTTCTTTAGAATGTGTGTCACGTGTGTGGAGCAACTTCTGAACCATTGTCTTTCACTCAGATGGTCCATTATGTTTCATCATCGGCTCTGTGGTGAGTCTCTTAACAGTTACTTATGCATTTTAAATATAAACATGGATAAACTATACTTATGCTTTGTCTTTTTTCCCTTTTTTTGAAGTGTTATTTCTGTTTTGAGCTTTTTTATGTACTGAATATCTTATAATATTTTTACCTTTTGTCAATATTTATGGAACCATCTACAGTAAAATGCAGAAAACTATTATAAAATCAAGGAGCTATTATTATTTTTCATTTCTAATAATAGATATTACATTATTTTTCATATCAGCAACTTTTGTGAAACTACCGTACTTAAGTTTTATTTTAGTTTGTTCTTGTTATTGGTTTCTTAGTTTGCATTTGCTCCCACTCTTATTTGTTAAACTGTATTTACTATTGTTATTAGTTTCTTAGTTTATTTTGTCTTCTGTTCTTATTTATTGAATTGTATTTACTTTCATTATCAGTCTCTTTTTTTTTTTGTAGTTTTCTGTTGTTAATGTTCTAATCAATAAACTGCTTAATTTTGTTATTAGTTTTTTATTTCCACTGCTTTTACTGAAGAAGTTATGCTTGCTGATATTATTTTTATATCCTAGTAGACAATGCTTTCTTTTTATTATTAGTGTCTTAGTTAGTCCTAGTGTGCTGAGAAAAGTTTTCAGGATGCACAGAATGTCCAATTGACTTGCTCATTGTTTTAATACGTACTCTCCTGACACCAAATTCTCTCAAAAATTCCATCTGTTCATGATGAAAAACCCAGGTCTACACATGTTTGTTACTTAGTAGTCCTGAAGTAGACCTATAGCAGTTGGTGAATATGTGTCTATCACCAAAAAAAGTAGTTGTAATAATTCAAAAACAATGCCAAATTCTCTAAAAAATTCTGTCTGTTCATGATGAAAAACCCAGGTCTGCACATGTTTGTTACTTAGTAGTCCTGAAGTAGACCTATAGCAGTTGGTGAATATGTGTCTATCACCAAAAAAAGTAGTTGAAATTATTTCAAAAACAATGCCAATGTTAATATATTTGGAAACAGTGTGGAACGTTCAATAAGTTGGAAGTAAATTAAATAAAAGTTAAATTATTTCAAACTTGTAATAACCATTTTTTAAATTAGGGGCAAGGGCTGGTCACTCTAGTCAATTACCAACAGACCAATCCCAGTGGAGTGTGGGCTACTTATTAATTGACATTTAGCAGTTACCAGTAAAAGTGCCAGACTGCCTATGATTGCATCCACATTCTTTTAAATTATATGCATTTCTAGTCAGAATTTTCCACACGGCTGCCAATTTTAGATTAAAAATATACTTTAAAATAGTAGGTGATGCCATCCAGTTGCCTTCCCTGTGGTTGGCAGTTCAAAAATTAAAGATGGTGGCAGATAGTAAACAAAGAATTAAACCTACTATATGCCACTTCGGGTGGATTTATATTACTCACAGCATAGGTTGAGATGTGACATGCAGTTACCTACCTGATCATTTTAACTCTTTGTAACCACAAATCCATATCATTCCAACTCCATGTGGTTTGCACTATGAGTGTTTTAGGTTTGTATTTATTTATACTACATGGGGTGCATTTATTCTTTGTCATGTTTTAAACGTACGATGTAATGTGCAGAATTGTCTTAGAGCTTAATTTCCAGAAAATTCTAGAAGTAATATAAAAGCCTATATGAGTCAAGAAACAACCCCCCATTATCTGTGTAGTCAAATTCTTTTTTTTAGGAATTGAGAGGATCTTTGTTTTTAGTTGACTAAATATATAACTAGTTCAACAAATAAGTAAGTAAGGTTGTTTGTTTGTTGTTGTTTGAAATTAAGCACAGAACTACACAATGGGCTATCTGTGCTCTACCCACAACGGGTATCGAAACCCGGTTTCTATCGTTGCAAGTCCACAGACATACCGCTGTGCTACTGGGGGGTATAAGTAAGGTTGAAACTGATATAATATAGGGAGGGTTAAAAGGATGAGTAGTTGTAAGGCCCAAAAAATGGCTCGTTAAGAGAGAGTAATTAATTATTAAATGCAATAAGGAATCTAATGGTTCACTGTGAAGACTTAAACAATAGATGGTTAAAAGGTGTAAAATAGATAGCAGGCCTTTTTTTCCAAAAGAAATATGACTAAACATTTCAAAATTATTTTATCTGATGATTAAATTCATATTTTACTTTATATTTTTATTGGCTTTTGCTTTCCTTTTTATCTTACAGTGAATAGAGTATTGGAATGTATCATAGACAAAAGTACAAATAATTTTTTTGTTTTAGTATTAAAAAATTCCAACTGTATTGTTGAAACCTAAGAGACATTTTTAACACTTAAAGAAATATTGTTATTTTCAGAAGTTGAAATAAATGTTGTTGTTTTTCTGTCACACCTTAGTTCTCAAGCAAGCCTGATGATATCACAGAAAATAGATCCCACCCAGGCCTTTGGTCAGTTATTACGGCAAGCAGGAAGTATGGGAGAAGTACGGAACTGTCCTGTGAGTGTTTTTTAAAGAAATCTTACAGTTACATCTTATTTATTAGTGAATTTTCATTTGGAGTTATACATTTTTCTTATCACTCCAAACATTTTGCAAAAGAGAAAAATAGTATATATATATATATATCTAATCATTATGTGAAATAACTTAATTATATCAACATGATTGTTTTTCATGTTTAATAAAAGTTTATAATGACATTGTTAAACAGTAATTTATACGTATAGTTGTTAGTTTTGTTAATTATCATCTGAAAACTATCCTTTGTCCATGCCTTTTGGTTTACCGGTAAAAGTAATGACTTATATATAATGCTAAAATTTTAGGTTTGATCCCCATAGTAGACACAGTACATACAGGTAGCTCATTGCGTATCTTTGCATTTAAAACAAAAACCATTTTTTAAGAGTTTATGTTTAGTTTTTTTTAAATGTTTCATCTTCAATCAGTATTAGTGTTTCTGTACTTCTCAGTAAAACAAGACTCGTCTTTATCATATGTAATTTTATCTACTAGTAAGTGATATATTTTCAAGCAGCCTCCCCTTCAGCAGTAAGCGTGAGAGTATATACACTAAAAATTGGGGGTTGATACCCATGATTGGCACAGTGTAGATAGTCTGTTGTGTAGCATTGTGCTTAAACACAAACAGAAATTTATATTGTGTGCATGGGCTTGTTATCCAATGCAATATATTTGATTTAAGAACTACAAAAAAAAAGGTGGTTACTGTTCTGTTATAAAAATGTTGATGAATATAAAATAATTTATTAAGGTGTTTATAGTTACCTATTTTTTAAGCTATAAATTTTTATTGCTTTATTTATTATAATATTTTCTCTTTTTTAGAGTGCTTGTGGTGCCAAAATACAGATATGTAGAGCTTTAATGAATCATCCAGAAATAGGTAAATTGATCCATAATATTATTATTGGTTATCTAAAGGTCGAGGAGCTTTATCATTATTCCTCAATATTTATTTATTTTTTGTCTGATTTAGTTAAAAAAATTATAGTTCTAACAAAAAAAGATTATTTTCCTTGTTAAAAGTCTGTTTAAAGTAAATTAATCAATAAAAATATTTCATTAATATTTCAATGTATTTATTCTTTGCGTGTTAACATGTTTTTGGTAATGCAGTCAAAGTATTCTTTGTCTTTGGTTCTAGTGAGTATTGGAGTAGTATGGGATTCGGAAAATCCAACTTTGGATCACATCATGGATGTTATCAAAGCCATAGGCTTGAAAATAAGTTTGCAAGATGTAAGTTGAATCAAGATTTTGTCACACAAATGGACAATAAATTGTAGAAAGTCGTGATGAAACAGTCTGTGTAGAAATTAAAGTATACTCTTTTGTTATTGAAAATACATCAATTAGTGGTATTAGCTAGCAACATATGACTATTCTCTACTGTTTTGATACAGATGTTAGATCATTTTTCAGTTTTTTTTTAAATAGGTTATTTTCTTAATAACACAATGATGGTTTGGTAGGTAATTGTTAAACACAGGAATTGAAAACTATTTTAGACATTTATTTGAAAACTTAATAAATTAACAAATCTTAATATTTTATTCCATAATTTGTCAGGATGTGAACTTGAATATTTTAAATGTAACTTTACTTATTATTTTGCTACAGACATTCCACTCAGTTGTTGATGGAAGTTGGGCAAGGGGTGCTACCCACCAGTTGGTAGGGATTGTTACGTACTATGGTAAACATTATTCCACGTTTTTTTTCCACACCAAGCTACGAATTTGGATATATTTTGATGATGCTGCAGTTTGTGAGGTAATTTCTGTTGTTGATCCAGTATATAATGATATATGCTCATGGTCGTACTTTTAATTCACAAACAGGTTCCTTTCTATGTTTATGTTTGTTACGAATACAATTTAAATGAACAAATACAGTTATATATAATCATTCATAACGATAGGTGCAAGACGAAAATACGTACATGAATCATGGTATTCATTTCACTGATATACTTTCTCCTCAGATTGGCCCGAAATGGGATCAAGTAGTGGACAAATGTTACAGAGGACATTTTCAGCCACTTCTGCTTTTGTATGTTGATCCACAGGGGAGTCCCGTCTCATCAGAAACTGCTCCAAAAAGTGTTACCGTAGTTGCAGGGCACAGTAAACCACAGAAAGGTAAGTTACAATGCCAAAGGATAATTTCAAACATTGAACAGTCAAGGCTACATGTAGTGACACATCCAGATTTTATAACTGAAAATAACATTAATACTATAAGAAAATCCTAGAGTTTGTTATTTGAAGCCAACTATCGTATTTTAAAAATGATATTCATATAACATAATTTTCTGATAAGATATGGAATTAACGCATGGGTTAATCACACTTTATAAGAATGATGTTTTTGAGTCTCATGTTGTCCATGGAAATTCTTCCTCCATTGTCAAGCATGCTAAGCCAGATGGCCATAATTACGCATTGCTGCCTGACACTTCAACTGTAACACATTTCAGCAAAGGTTGACAAAGTCAGTCTTAGACTACACATCTTGATAAGTTTCCATGGTTATGTTTAAACATATTAAAGGCACATGTGTGTATGTAACTGCTATAATTAAAGTTTCTTTGATAATTTTTCAGTTGTATACAACCATTGATTTCCAGATACGGCATATGAACTTTAAATCTTTATTTATTAAATTGTTGACCGTATTAGGAAATATGAATGTTTAGGTTTGGTAGGGGAGGTTTGCTTTTGTAACAAAGCTTTCACTTTGTGTATGTGGCCATTGCTCTGGATTAGTTGGTGTGTGTTTTTAAAGCCCACTGCTAGCCATAATGCTCTGTTGTGTCAGTTGTCCACTTCCATGTAGAACACTGAAGGCTCATTTCCTTCAGATCTTACTTTATGAATACTTCTCTTTGGAAAGGCTTTGTAAAGCCTTCCAGCCATAAATTTTAACCTTGTTGGATTACACAGCTGAATTTCAGGAATTTGAAGTGAACCAAATTTGGAAGTGCTAACCATGTCACCTATGGAGCCATGGTTTGCACTTGTGGTGACTCAGTACTGTATATACAAACCATATAAGTAATGTGAAGTTAATCTTCTGGACATGCATTTTATTATAAGTTTTAACTTGTACTGATTAATACATTCTGCATAACCTTTTTTGCAGATATTTTTTCCAAAGAAGACGTATATTCTTCTAGTGGAAACCACAGACGAGCTTTCACTCCAAACCCTGAAACTTCTCAGGAAAATATTACTAGTGTACAGCCAAGAAGAGCTATAACTCCCAGTGGGGAGTTATCTTGTCGTTCTGTGAAAAATCATTTTCATTCTCAATTCAGGCAAAGTTCTTTAGCAAACGTTGTCTCAAACAAAAATGGTAGGCACTTATCTTTTAAACAGTCTCACCCCTCACAAACAAATCTATCATGTGAATGGAAACCTCACTATTTCCAGAATTACTTGAAACATTCATCAGCTTCAGTTTTGTCAGAGCAACAGGATGAGCACAACAGTAGTGGAATGACTTATTCAGATAAGTTATCTGTAGAAACTTCCAGATGTAAAAGTAGTGTTTCAGTCTGTCAAAACAAGTGTAACAGTGATGAAATTTCAAGAAATTCACAAGGAACGAAAATGAATGAGGGTACATTTTATGGTATGCCACTAAGGCCTAGTTGTGGAGAAGATGTATTGCAGCAAAGAAAACCTTTATGTGTCGGACAGTTTGGTTCTAGAGTTGGAACGGGTACCAACAGCGAGAACGGAAAGACTTATATCAGCCGAGAAGCTGTTGAAAGCATTTTAAAGGCTCAGAAACTTCAGTGGCAAAAAACACTCACTGGAGGTGTTGGTTTATCTGCAGCAGTTGGAACAAGTAACTACAGCAATACTACTGTTGAGAAAAATGAAAAATCTCAAGAAAAACCTTTAAAAATAGACATCCCAGATTTTCCAAATTCATTTGGAAGACGTGATTCTGGAAACTGGAGTGGGGACTGCAACAGTGCTAGTTCAATGAGCAGCTCATCTGTGGACAATATCTTTTCTGGTGTGGTGGCTGGTAGCAGGTAAGTGTCACATAAAACACATCATTGACTCTTACATGACCAGGCTACTTGTACTGCCAGGAACCAGGGAAAATTGACTGAATATCTAAATTTTTATATTTTATTGATTCATTAGATATATTTATTGAAGAAAGACCCTATAAACCATATATTATTAGATTCAGTGTGAAAAACATGTATAAAAGTAAACCCACATGGGAATAGAAATAGTGGGCATACCAAGTATGTCCCTATGATAAACAATGGGCTTAGATTAATAATGGCTGGAGACGGCTTGAATGGGTAATGAAGAAAAACTTTAATACAACAGCAAATGTACAACGTTTCGACAAGGGTTTGTCATCATCAGGTGATGACAAAACCTTGTCGAAACGTTGTACATTTGCTGTTGTATTAAAGTTTTTCTTCATTACCCATTCAAGCCGTCTCCACCCATTATTAGTCCCAAAGTGGGTTCCTCGTCATCGAAAATGGGCTTAGATTGTTGGAGGACTGTAATTCATGTGATAGGCTTTAATGGGCTTCATCCACTTTTTATATTTTACACTTCCCTCAGATTTTTATTGAAGATCTGTAGATGAATAAATATTTGATTTACTTTTCATTCTCTAGGCTCCCAATGGTAAAATTGCTATACTAAAGAAAGTTGATACATTTAATTCACATACTGTCTGTGAAACTTATCTCGTTAAGTGGAAAATACGAAGCTAATTTTGGACTTGGGGGAAAAGTAACATTAGATAACATTTCAAAATAAATTTTAACGTGAATTTGAAATTAAAAAAAAAGGAAGAAAAGGTGGAATGAACTATCTCATTACATATTTTTTCTTATAAAAGTACAGTTTTGATATCTTATATTTGAATTATAAGATTTTACAGCTTTCTACTGAAATTGGGTGTATTTTTTATTTATGGTTTCGTTACAAATATACATATTATTTCAAAAACTAGGCATGTTGTTTGAATCTTAAAAAGTCATTAGATGTAAAGAGGTGTCATTATACACATCGTCTTGCCATTAGATGTTGAAATTAACATACTATTGTGTATTTTTTGTATGTTTATATAAAAGTAATTGAATTCAACCCTTCCATTACAGTATTTTTTCCTTGTTTTACAGATCAAATATCAATTTGCATCAGTATGGAAACCTGACAAGGGTTAACTTTGACAATAACGTCCAGGGTACGACAGGTGACCTAGGATATGATTCCTTTTCACTCTCAAGTACTGAAAGCTACCAATCTGCAAGAACAAACTCACCCTCTAAAACCGACCATTCCTTGATTCAAATTACTGAAGGCATGCAAACAGTTTTTCAGAAAAGTAGTAAAGTAGAAACATTACAGAAGGAGAGTCATGCCAAAAGTAAGATATTTATGTACTGTAAAACATTTACAAATTCCATGTTAATTTATATTTTAAAATCATAGTACGAGTCTGGTGCCTAAATAATAATTTGTTTTACATAGTTCTTATCAATATAATATAAAATTTGTATTTGTCAATAGTAATATCAGTGTTAATTAAGGTATATGTTTAGTATCAACAAGTACAATAAAATGTTACCACATCAGTTAGATGTTATTTCAGTTAAAATGTTTACATCTTTCATTTTTACAAACATATATATAATGCTCAAACCACTTATGGGCTGATTGAAGGACGTTTTACTGATATATGAGAAGGCACAAGTACTGTTATTAAACAATGTTAATCGCATTCCCAAGATAATTTTTATTTATGGTGACCAGTTTTGTGATCTGATGTGTACATTTCAGTGGTGTATGAAAGTGAAGAATATAGATTGTATTCTGAGCAGTTTGAACAACAGCAGTGTGTGAAACATGCCTGGATTTCAATGAAGACATCTGGATATTTCTATAGGGTCACTAGGAGATGGTGAGACACAATGAGTCTTAGCAGAGTGGTTACAAGTCTCACAAAATGTTGTGTTAAATTGCTTTCAAGTCACCAGTAGAACTGACTAGATTTGAAGAGGGGTAGACCACTGGTGGTTGACAGTATGGGTTTGAAGCAATCAGTGGGGCCTCAGCTTCCCATCTCTATCAACATTTCAGAGCAATGATTGGATGAAAAGGTAGCAAGTAAATTGCTTGGAACAGGGGTTTACAAAAGTTGGTCTGTATATCAAATGATTGGATGTATTTCTCTTATTGATCACTACAGAACAGTTCATCTTCAGAAGTTTCAAGAATGTGTGGATTGATTAAAAAAGACACGTGGGCAAATGTGTTATTCACAGACATATTTCACACTGCAGCCAGGTATAAAACATGTATAGGTTTGGAGAGTGGCCAACACCAGATCCAATCACAATTTTACAATGGAAGTACACACATATGGTGGTGGAGGCATGCTGGTCTGGGATTAATGACCACACTGACCTTTATATGCTATGACATGACACTAGGAATGTCATACGATAGAGACATGCTGCCTTACAACCATTTATGTTCCCATACGCAGATTCAGTTTGACAGAACTGTCTTGAAATCAGTGATGATGCATGCTGTGCCAACTATTAAGCAATTTCCTAGAAGAAGGGGGTATTAAACAAATGGACTGGCCAGTATGCTCACTGGATTTAATTTCAATTGAATATATATATATATATATTTCCACTTTGCCACTGAAGAAGAGAGGTCCACCTTTTGAAAGTGCTTGGGTTATAGGGTTTTTATCATCTTGTGTCAAGACTTCTCGAACCTACATGTTTTTCTGACATCATGAATATATACATATATATATATGGGATACTCTAAAATAACGATTTGTAGCAAGGGATTCTTTTCCAAGTAATGTTGTTGAACATAAATTAGCTCAGTGGTTTCACTCATTGTAAGCACGCTGTACTTTTTCAAGGTGATCATGCACCATATAATAATTGTTGAACACTGATTGGGATGCAACGTCTGTAAAACCAAATGAGCATTGTTGAAGTGAACTCCAATACCGATACCTTTTGCATATCAAATCATATAACTTTCTAATTCTTGTTGGGCATAAAAATGAACGTAGGAATGCCTTATCAAATACTTTAATCGTTACTAGTATCCTCAAAGCAATTACAGTTTGAATAATTTCCTTGAGCAGGTGTGTTGCTACTAACCCTAGTTCGGTATAACAAGCAGTTACAGTTTGAATAATTTCCTTGAGCAGGTGTGTTGCTACTAACCCTAGTTTGGTATAACAAGCAATTACAGTTTGAATAATTTCCTTGAGCAGGTGTGTTGTTACTAACCCTAGTTCGGTATAAAAGTTGGTGAAACGTCAAGTCATTTCACAGTGCTTTGCAGGCAGCTGGATAGGCTCAGGATTTGTCTACTTTTTTGTGTGTTGATTTTTGGTTGTTTAATTTATGTATGGGGAAACTATGAAATCACAGTTTAAAAATAATAATTTTTATACCTGAGTACTTAAGTAATGATAGTCGAAAAACTTCCAATTATGAATATATATGAGGAACATCAGTAAAAATAATAACTCCTATTTTCTTCATGTTTCAGAAAAGAGCCATGCGAGTTTTTTGTGTACTTATAAAACAATATAGAGTGCGAGCTGCATTTTGTGTATTCATAAAATAGTAGAAAGCAAAGTGGGCCATATTTTGTGTGCACTTAATGCATGGTTAAGAGTAAAAAGCTATTTTTATTTGTGTGTGTGTTCATAATCCACATTTATAAAGTAGAATGAATAGTGATTTTGGTATCTATTCCTGTTTTTTTTTGTAGATGCTAGAGATGACTGTGATAAATTATGTGTCCAGGCCGATGCTCTTTTAATCAAATCACAAGAGAAAGAAAAAGAAGGACAACTTAAAGTTGCTACATTGTTGAGTGACGTAGCAGCGGGTAAGTTTCGTGCTGTGTTATGAAATAAAAAACTTCTATGAAAATAATTGTAATACAGCTCTCCAAAATAATAAGCTTTTAGGTGAAAGTAACATACGTGAAAAACAGACTGCAAGAAAGGTTAAAATTTTGCTTAAAGTTAAATGGACTTATAAAAAAAAAAAAAAGGGTAGGGATAAAACATTCCTCTGGAATATTTTAATAAAAACAATTTTCTTGACAGTAAAAATATAATTTCATTATTTTTCAAATTGAAAGAAAATATATTTCAGCAATTTGTGTATGAATGTTCATGTACAATATATTTCATTTGGATTACAATACAAATGATGCAAGTATTAGTTTCAATTAAAAATATTGGAATCATACATTTATTTAAAATGATAAAGTTATATTTTTTAATTGATACTATACATATTTTAACCTACTTGACTTTTTGTGAACAATGCTTAGAAATAATTGATAAGAAAAAAACACTGATCATAAAACTAGAGAGTGTTCTTCTCATCCCATAATTAATAACAATAAGATTACCTTTTGAATCTATAGTTGATTTTAACAGCATGTAGAATTATTTGAATATGCTTGCTCATATGTAATCAAACTTGTAATATCTTTCAAAATGAAAATATAGCCAAGGCCAGAGAAGCTATGGATGCCCCTTACAGTAATCCTAAGTCTTTGACAACTGCAAAGATGAAACACCGAAGATGTATAATGAGATCATCAGCTCTCCACAGTAGATTAAAAGAAATTGAAAATGAAGAATTGAAATTGAAAAATGAAGCAAATTCTTGTAACACAAATAAATGTCTTAATCCTATTGGCACTATCAGTACTGATGATTCTAGTGTATTACCTGACCAGCAAATTAATACTTCTACTTTAGTAACTGAATGCTCTACTAGTGGTAATATAAATGAAAGGGACGAAAAAATGCTTCAAATTTATGCTACATTACCTAAAAGAGGAAGAAGATACAAAAATAACCATGAGGGGTTGGAAGATGCCATGAAGATCAAAAGTGAACAATCAAACAAGGATACACCAGAAGAAAAGGAAACGTTTTTTCATCAACAGTCTTTAAAATCCAGAAGAGAGTTTGCAACAAGGACCAAAAGTTTCAATGAGAAAATGAATCTTGATGATAAAGAAAGATTATCCTTAAGAAGAACAGATGGATCCAAAATGTCTGATGTTTCGAGCTCTTTCAAAGAGAAAAATCTAACTGAAGTGGAAAGAAATGATAATCCTAAAAGTAACCTTCACAGAACATATTCTGTGCCATCTGCAAGCCTGAATAAAGACTCGGAGAAAAGCACCAATACACTAAATCAGACATTTTCTGGGCAGCCAAGTAAGAAACAACATCGAGTTCGGAGAAAGCTTCTTGGTGGTTTCATGAGAAGGAAAAACCGCAGCCTCCCTGACCTGAGAGAGAGCAAAGACCAGGATGAGGTTATATCGAATTCTTATGATGATTCAACCATCTTTGGCACACTGCGATTTACAAAGTTACATCAAGTTAAACCTTCAACATATGATGACTTCTCTACAGGCATGCAAGAACAGAAAAACAAAAATACTAACCATCAAGATAACCAGATGAACAAAAGACCCGTGAAGAATTATACTTCACTAAGGAAAGAATCTCACATAATTGAACCTGATCCTTCGGAGAATAATTTCAAGAAAGAGTCCATGGTAAGAAGTCGTATAGTATCACCAGCCTGGTTATCTCAAAATTTCAGTAATAAAGCAAATGTTAAACTTTCTCCATGGAAATATTCTAACCCATCAAATAAACTAAATATTCAACCTTCTGAACACCCATCTAAAGCTTATATTGATCAGGAAAATATTGGGCAAGAACCTATGTCGTCAGAACAAAACCCAAAGCGAAAGATTCTTGAAAACAATGAGGATAAGAAAGAAGAATATATAACATCCCTTAGTAATGGAATAAAAGAATATTTGAATAAAACACAAGAAGTAGAGACAAGTGATCTACAAGACTTGCCCAAAAGTCATTATATGAAAGAAGCTCAGTGGATGCAGGAACTACAGCAGAAACAACTTCATATGCTACAAAAGAAGAAGCTTCAGGATTCTTGTAGTTCTAACCCAGGTATTCAAACTTTGACTTCAACATTGTTACTTGAGAATATGATGTACAACATTATTTATGTGACAGTTATGATAACTGTAGAATATTAAAGTGTGAATACAGCTTAATTTGAAAATACATTAGTACACTGTCACATTAATATCAGGGTTCCCACACTTGGTTAAAAATAATTTTCCAAGACATTTAATATATTTCTCGTGACATTTTATAGCCTTTTTCATTTTTTAACTGCATACTTTAATTACATTAGTTGTTCATTGAAATGATTAACAGTTGTCTAATTCTTTTTGAATAAGATAAGGCCACAGAAGAATCAACCTATTTCTGCCAGTATTTATCTTGTTCCCGTTTTCCAGGCCTAAATTGAATTTCTGCCCCTCAGTGGCACAGCGGTACGTCTGCAGGCTTGTACCACTAGAAACTGGGTTTCGATACCCTTGGTGGGCAGAGCACATACAGCCCTTTGTGCTTAATTACAAACAACAACTTGAAATTCTTCAGATTTTCCAGTATGCATGGGAACCCTGATCCGAGTTTTCCTTCATTTGTTCTCCAATTACGAATAGGAAAGATTCACATTTCTGATCGTTAGCTAATTTGATTGAATGGTCCATGTATTAATGATTAAACTGATTTTAGTTCTTCTTTTGTATAATAATATATAGTTTCATTGTGTGGGAAGTAAAATGTATTCCTCATTGAGTGATTTACAGACATTATAAACCATTGTGTATTTTTCAATTTTGCTTTTTAGGGGAATCACAGAATACAAGAAACAAGTCTCCACGCACTATTCTATCAGAAACTCCAAAATCCATCAAGGTAAGATATCCAGGTTTTCAAACCCTTATCTTGGATTTTTTCTTTTAATTAAAATATATAAATGACAAGTGTATCATTTTAATGTGTGTTTGGTATTACAGTGGTTTTATTAATGCTAAGGGTGTTCAAGTTACATTTGATAAAAGGAGGAAAAACTTGTATTCTGATATTACTCAACATGTACATGTTTTCCTTCTCTGTTTTCTTTAGCTCTTGGACCTGAAGGGCATCTATGATTTTTAGTATTTTTATCTTTTTTTTTGTAAAAACAACAGGGGGATCCTCAATAGCCACAGCACTTGAAATTCTTTTAGGCAAGATCAGAATAAATTAATCTGCAAGACTTTTTTTTTTCCCCTTTTTATTAGCTATATTTTTGTGTACCAGCAATACCAAGCATGGGCACGAGTACACCCGATTCAATTTTATTACTCGTCAGGATCTCTACCAGCCTACCCTCAAATTATTTTAGTCAGGATTAGAGTAAATTAATCTATGAAACCTTGAACGTGGTTAAATACATCATTTGTATGGGTTTGACCTCTTGAATCCAAAACTGTAATTACATTTCAATTACTTGAAAAAACTCGGAGCCGTTCTACGAGCTGCGGCTAAGAAGAAAAAAGGGGATACTTTTAAGTGATATTTTAAACTATGATAGTAATAAACTGTCAATAAACAATACATGACTCATAACTTATTAACTGTATGTACAAGAAAATATAAATTTAGATATTTTTATTTGGCAGTGTGTCCATCAGAATCCTGAATGGAGTACAAATGTTCACCCATTACTACAGAGATCCAGGACAGGATTTACTACCACTACTGAGAGAGTAAAAGAAAAAGAGCCTCATTTGAATAACCCTCAATCTGTAAAAATCTTAGCCTCAAGAATTGAATCATTTCTCAAGCCTGCATCTGAACATGTATCTAAAGATGAGAATAAAGGCAATTATAAACAAGCACTATCTCATAGGTCTACCCTTCAGATGTCAAGACAAAAAGAACTACAGAACTTGGAGGCTTGTTCGGCAGTTACTGATCTTAAAGTAGTCGATCAACCACCCGATTATGAAACTACTCTTCAGCGCCTTGGATTACTACGAAACAAGTGGCAGTCTTCTGATGAAACACTTTCTCCAATGTGTGTAAGTTATGAAACAGAAAGTGGGAGTAAAGTTCCTGAAGTGAAGAAAATTTCCAGTTCTCACTTATCTGACTTTCTTCCTAGTTACCACAAACAGAACTCAAGTTTACTTGGACATACAAGACAGGAGGCTGGAACACAGCCTATAACTTCTGTGGGAACTCCTCACCAAGCCAGACAGACTGGGAAATGCAAACGTTTGTGTAATCCTATTTCAGAAGGAGTCCCAAATTCATACAGTGTGCCTTCTTTAGTTGATATATCAAAAAAGAAACCCAATACTAAGAAGTGTGTGACATTTTCTGATTGCGTTGTTTTGGTGGAGTGTGATGAAGACCGAGGAAAAGGGATATCTTCAAATACCCAATTCCAGGAAACGGTGGAAAAAAGTTCCGCACAACGACAAGTTTCAGGTGGTGGATTTAGTGATAAAGCAACTCTTAGGATGACTCCACAACAACTAAAACTTAGTTCAAGCAACCAATCATGTTGCAACCTTTGTCACAAAACTATAATAGTTCCACCAACCATTTATTGTGCTAATTGTGCTTGCTACTTAGCTCGATTTAAGTAAAATATATAGAGCACAGATCTCCAAGACATTATTAAGTAAGCTTTCTTTTAAATACGAGAAATTGCTTAAACAAACAGAACCACAGAATGAATGTTAGTCTATTTTCTTCTACTTGGTAATAAAAGTATTCATAAGTGTGGAGGTTCCTTGTCTGTGATAGCTTCTCAAAGATGTGGCTATTCATGAATTGAAATTTTGTCTACAGTATATGCATATATGATTTACAAATCAATAAATAACTACAAAAAAGTATTTGACAACATCACTGAATCCTTTTTGAAAAGCTCTTTATCTGTATAAAATTTTGTACCATAAACTTATTGTGTACATACTAAATTGTTACATCTGTATAATATATATATATATATTTGAAGATCTATATATTTTTATAAATGCATGTATCTATATCATTTTTGTGGTTCTAAACATTCTTTATATACTGCAAGCATATTTTAAGGTATTGGTGCATATAACTTTACTGTGATTTTATCTGAAATTGCAACGAGTGGTTAACTAGCAAATTATATTTGTATTGAAATTGATCTCAATTCATTCTACATGAACGCTTTTTGATCTTTGAATATTTTTTGTATGCCATTTTTCATTCTAAAAAGTGCCATAGAGAAAAAACTGTATTATGAACAAAAAAAACTTGAAAGTGCAAAAGAAAAATGTCAGTGATTGTTTTTTGTATTTGTACAAATGTAAATTTTAAGGTTCATTTTTTTCAACCCTTGGTTTAATAAAAAACACCCAATAAAATTTATTAGATAAAGAAAAAAAATGAAGCTTTTTTTTTTTTACATTTCTTAACTATTGCAACATGAACTGACAGAAGAGGAGTACATGTTGATAAAAAAATTACAGAATATTCAACTAATTTGAAGTGAAAGAAGATTTCCAAATTACCGTTTCACAAATTCAGAACTCTGCATTAAATATTACTCATTACAATGTTTATGGCTAGAAACAGTATGAAGCTTGTTATAGTGAAAACTGCACGAACTAGGAACACGGGTAATAGTTGATTGAATAGCGTTAACTTTAAAAATTACAGCTATCTACCTTAGAAAGTAATACTTAGATCAATTGTTTGGTACTGTGATAAAAGTTAAAATATTTTTTCTATTTTTGAGAGAAATTTGGTGAACAAAACCACACGAAAAAACTATTTTTTTTTATAATGCCTTAATGAATGTCATGACTGAAAGACTCAAAGTCACACAAATATATATGTATATTTTTATATAACTTACAAATACCTGTTCATGGATATTTTTAACCACTGCTTTTCAAACTTTCAATAATTATCATGGATAAAAATATATGTGCACAGTGCTGAATCTCCCCCAAACTTGTTTCTTTCGTACATGTTTAGTCTCAAAGAATTACAAACACACACACACACACATATATATGTATATATATATCACTTAAGTTTTATCTTTCGCTTTACATTTTTAACCTCAAAGATTTATACCAATGTTACAATTACAACATTTTCAAAACATGTCTTTAATCAGATTTATTGATACTCTTCTTTAGACATCCATTTACAACTACAAGAATGTTACTTAAAATAACTTTTGAGATTTTTGCCAACAACCACAAAAGTTAATCTAATTATGTATATATATATATATATATATATAGATAATTCTTTACTAATAGAAACAAATGTTACTCTTCTGCTATTTCATAGTAAACTAAATTTTATTTCAAACATAGGAGCTAACAGGTTAAAATAATACCAAAACTGCATGTTAACCTGCTATAGATCTTTAAATTTATGTTAAATAATATATATATAAAAACTACAGCCAGCAAAACATATTGCCTTATGTACAAAAAAAAATAAAATAAAGATGAATTAATATAAAAACAGTGTATTGAAATATTAAAACATAAAAGCATTTTCATTAGCCAATTGTATCCTGGGCATAGCTACTAATGTTACATGCCACCACCCATGATTTTGAACTGATGACCAAAGGAAGGCAGCCAATCAGTAGCACTCTACCATGCTCTGGGATTGACTGTCACCCTTATAATACTCCCACAGTTTAAAGTGCAGAGAATAATTTGTGGGATCTCATGGATTCAAACCAAGTTTGCCAGCTCTGCAATCCATGGCCAACCCATTAACCATATCGAGAGCAATTAGAAAAATTTTAACTGAACACTTATCTACATGCAAACTATTGTAACTCTTATTATTAATAATAATAAAAAAAAGGTAGGGGGGGGTATAAGATGTAGCTGTTTGAAATAGTTAAATAATACTGGGTTACCCAAGAAGGATACAAACCAGTAATTTACGCACCTTACCCTTGAGTTTCTAAACATACAGGTAAAATATTTGGTTGCACTTTGAATTTTAAAAGCAAGCAGCATTTATTATCTTTATGTCTTAGATATCAAATGCTTTGTAAGTACACGCACAAACATTTATGTAAGAGAACACCAATCATTACTTTTAACTATTCTTAATCTATGCTGTCCCACATCTGGGTAAATACATAGTGGTATTCAGAGACATAAAACAATCTGTGTGAAAACAGAATCAGGAAATGATTTCTAAACATACTAACAAAACTTTGACAGTAGCTAAATGTACCATTACTATAACTATTTTTCCTAATATTTGTTAAATTTCAACAAATCTCGATTATCTTTCTTCTCAAATAAACCTTAATGATTTTTCTTCATTCATTTATACTCAAGATCTGAGCGAGTTTCTTAAAACTAGGTGTTAAACACTCTGCTAGAAGCTGATGTTAACCACTGTGACATAACTGGTGGGTGATAATACGGTGTAAAAACATTTCCATCTGAATGACTGCAAGTTTGCCTCGCCACACCCTTAATACCAGTCGTTTTATTATTTACATCTATCGTGTTTTCTGTAAAGGAAATTCCAGCATTATTTTGGGAAAGCCATTCTGTGTTATTTAAGCTCTGGAGGCATTCTGGAAGAATCAGCTTGGATGTATTCTTGACATAATCATTTGTAAGCCACTTCTGAACATTATCTTGCATGACTGTCACCACTGGCAGTAACCAGTTTTGCTGCTTGTTGTTAAGTGGCTGTGAAGAGTCAGTGGTATACACATTATCTTTGATAACTTCATTAATATGATCCTGAAGGTGGATTTTATTCATTTTGTTGCTATCATCTTTCAATACTTGCTCCCTTACAGCACTAACAAGACAGTTCTCTTCACAAACACAACTATTAAATGTTTGGCATTTTTCATTGGCTTTGCAGACCTCTGCTACGGAAGTAACGTTGGAATAGATCTCACCTCCTCGCAGCCACCTGCTTGAAACTTGAGGATTTATTGGTCTATCAAATCCTATGGCATTATTTGGAAGACAAGACAGGAGGTCTAGGTTTTCTATCTCTACATTGGTAGGTGAAAGACAGTTGCAAGACATGTGATCGTCCTGTAAAAAAAAAAACAACTTAAGTTGGTAAAGCTATTTAAACCTATATATCACTATGTTTTTATGTTTCATCTAAAATATGGTTTTATATTTCATATTTATATCAATAGAGAGATCTGTTTCATTACCTTAAATGATAGGTTCTTCCCCAATTCTTGAGTACTTGTTTGGCTGTCTGGTTGAGAAACCAGTTCTATAGAGTCTGAGGATGTTACTAAAGACTGTTTTTCTTCTGTCACCATAACAAATTCTTCTGAGTCAGACACTGGATCAGTGAGAGTCATGGTCTGTAGCCATTGCTGGACAAGAGATTTGGTTCTTTCTTGTGGAATAGTGGACTGAATAGAAACACAAGTTGTATGTTAAGTGTGGAAAACCATTTCCTTATGTTTCCAGTTTTCAACTGACTTAACAAAGAATGCACACTTTTACCTTCTGTTTTCTAATTTTACAATCAAAACTTCATTTTGTTTATAGAAAATATGAGCAAAAAACCTAAAACCATTCTTACAAAGTACACAAAGAATTTATCATAAACCAGTGTCTTATCACGTAAGAAAACTGACATTAATCAGCTCAAAATATAATGTTATGATCCTTTTTCAACTATTTAGCTGTTTGCTTAAAACATTATTTCATTTTCTTTTTAGGTACTACAACAGAACCAAAATAAATACCACTAGGAAGCATGGTATAGTTTAAAACATTTTGTGTATTTGTGTATGAATATCTATATCAAAAAAGTAAAAAAAAAAGCTGATACATAGAACATGTGATATCAATAAAGTAAGGGATGTTGCAAAATAAATCACACTTTTCCCCCGGGAGCATAACAAAGTAAAATAAGATTTTAATTCAATCAAAAAAGTAATTCCAAGTATCAATATCACTTGATTGGGCCACCATTATTCTCATGCATGAGTTTTAATTGATTTGCAAAAGCTTTCAGCAATGCAACAAACATGTCTGGTTTTGAGACTGTCTCTGTGAGCACATCAGTGAGAACACGAATCAAGGTTTCACATTTGCATCTCTCGCATTCAGGCAAAGTTTCCAATATTTCTTCTGCGCATTGTTGAACGAAAGCATTGTTGTTCCAAATTTGGAAAAACAGAAACAGGATAACATTTAAATTTGGTAAAAAAAACTTGAGATAATACTATATGACATCTTTGCAGAAATTAAAATGATTCATATGGTGGAAACCAAAATATCATAACAAACATTAAAACCACAGTAATATCAATAAATTTTCAATTACAACCATGAAAAATACTAAATAATTAACAACTTAATAAGTATACAAAATATCATAATATTTTAATTAATAAGTTGTTGATAGAGACAGCAGTTTGGAAACAAATATTCATACTGAGAAACAACAAATAAGTTAACTTAAAGCACATGTGTGTGATGAGAGTCACACTTTTTTGTTTTCCCTTTTCAGTGCTTCTTATCTAGCCAGATCTAGTCATAATTAAACTGGAATCCAGTTTAGGTAAATAGGTTAATGACTTAACCGTACTACATATTGTTGGATTACTATTAGTCTATGTTTCATAACTTCTGAGAAACAGTTAAATGAGCAAATTATTCAACAATCACTTTTTTTTTTTTGGAAATATACAATAATGAATATTCACTTGTTGTAACTTTTGTGTGAAAGCAATCTTACCCTAAGTAATGTTGGTTACATTTGTAGTTTGTAATAAGCAAGCAATATACGAAGTTAAAGCTGCACTATTATTTAGACATACAAGGTAAACGCAAACAACAAGCATCACTGTATCTAGCTATGTAACCAAGAGCCACTGGGCCATACCTTCATATTCGTAAAAGCAGAGAACATACTGTCACATGCAGTCATGCCAACAAAAGTAGTATTAGCTAATATTTCGATTACATGTATAGTTGGAATGATTAAAAAGAGTAACAATCAGAAACACTAATTTTGATACTTTTTCTGACATTAATGAATATTTCCCATAAAATTAATTGATTTTACAAATACTAATAGGTAAATGATTACAAAGAGTCAGCTCTATTCGAAACTACTTTAAACTGTTTATCAATTTCCTTGACTACTGTTCTAACGGAGTTATACCAGACAAAGCACTTATAGCTTTACATAAATATGTTTTAAAACAGTCTAGAAATAAGAATCGCTAATGGTTGGATGTCTGTGAAAGAACAGGAACGAGAAGTGGTCCAAACCCAACTGGGATACAAGTTGCGATGTTTAATTTCTCCTTTTAGACTTCACCGTTTCAAATGTTTGACTTTTATCCCCTAATTTTTTAAATAGGTGGTAAGTGAAGCAAAATGACAAGTTCAAGCCCTTTCAGGGTAAAGAATTTCTAATTTGGAAAAGTAAAGTTTTTCCTGTATCTTTGACACCTTAATTTTTTAACTTTCTTTCTTTCTTTTTCATAATGGATCTTTTTCCATTATTGTGATATACAGGTGTATTTAAAGCTGTTAGTCACTAGGTTAATTTTCTGTTATTCTGCACTTTTCAGAAGACAAGGAGAATTCTTAATATGTTAGTGGGGAAACACACATGCACACTTGCATGCACACTAACACACACAGTTTTAAGTGATTTCTTGAGACGGATTACTAATATCACAAGAAGCCGAGATTCTCTATAGGCCTAACTCATAAATCTAAAATATTTTAAAACAAGCTGGAGTACCCATCCCCTGAATGGAAATTATGTAAATTCATGATTAATGAAAGGTTATCTTAGGTCATAAAAAGTTGCTTCCCTTATATGATATTGTAAAAAATGCAAAAACATCCATAAAAACTGCAAAACACAAAATGTAATGTTGAAGCTGTTTGCAAGTTTTTATGAATGATGCACTGTAGTAAAAGCTTTGCAGAAAGTTTGTACTTCAGCTACTATCTCACACATTTTACCACAGACATGTGTTACATCCTTATAAGTTGCCTAATTATACTTATATTATGACAGAATTTTATACAAGTCATACCTTATAGTGGTGAGTGCCTAATAGTGATTTGCAGTTGACATTTCTGCATATTTTACTACAGGCCAAGTTTTCTGGACAAATCTCGGTCATTTCTATTTTGCCAAAACTGAGAATACACGATTTTAGAGTTTCATCGTCAAATTGTAGTTCAGTTTTTTGAGGAGGTTGTAATTCTGGACTGAAAAAACAAACAAACAAAAAATCATTAGGTATATAAAGGGGAGAATAAGTACTTAGATACACACAGTCTACATAGATTCAAAAGGAAGATGACGAAATAATGAAGAAGATGGTAATATTTCTCTTCCAGTCATGCTTTACAACCTTTGATTTATAACAAACTCGCTCTAGAGAATTGGTACCGTCAAAATAACAAATTAAATACTTTTAAGCCTGGACAGGTCATGTGGTCTAAAGTTATGAAATCTGATCAACTTTTTTCTCAAAAACTATTTGTGACAGTGATTTGTGTGACTTCATTTTATTGGAACAGTACAAGGATTACAAAAAAATTCGGTGTAATAACCAGTGTCTATGGTTCTCGCCAAGAAATGTTACAGGAAGGCAATATTCTTCATTTGCTACAAATAAAACCACACCTAATTTATCTCTTCTATTCCAATTGCAGACAGCCCATAGAATTCATACAGTGTGAAAATGTAAATGGATTACACAAGGAACTAATGAAAAGAGAAGACTATCGGATGGAAATGTCTAGTTATAATTCATCATAATGACTGTGATAAAGATGAAAGTAATGTTTCTAAAGGTTGCCAATTTATAAATAATCAATAATTTTCTCATTCACTTACATGTTAGTCATAAAATTGTGGCTTTAAATGTAGAAAAAACCATGGCTAAAGCAGAGGATTGTTTATTAAACAAAATGTCTCGGAAGTTTATATGCTACCTTGCTAGGGCTATAAGTTAATATACTTACAATTTAATTGAGCATAAATATAGGTGTCATTAAGTTTAATAAGCAATGTAGACCAGCTAATATTTGCTATTTGTCATCACTTGTTTTCAGCATGTATAATGAAGCTGTAATATCAAAAGTTGAGTTTTGTTTAAACAAATCATGAACAAAATTAATTTTAGGTAATCCTCTGAATTAATTTATAGGCAAAAATATTCTCAAAGCAAGTAATTTTTTAAAACTTTGACTAGTAATGATGATTATATTAACTTCTGGATTAGTACTTATATGGAAAAAGTTATATTTATACAATCAATTCTAATTATCTAACCCTGATAGGAAAGTAGTGAAGTCTTATTTGGAGGACTCTCATCCCCCCCTTCCCTTTCCTGCTTAAATACTTGTATAACAGATATTTTGAAAACTTGTTTGTTCTACTTTCAGTTAAGCCCTGTTGTGGTAATCAAGCATGGTGATATTTTCTAAAAGTTGAGATTAAACAACTGCATCTCACGACAAAGTTTTGGAATTTTCACAATTATTTGTTTACTCAAAGCGCATAACTGGAGTTAAGTTATAACATTTTAAACCAGTGTAAAATGTTATCTACGAGTGGAGATATGAACAAAGATAGACTTAATGGTGCTGCAGTGGTTGTTCACCATATCCAAACTTAGTATCTTCTTGGAACCATAATTCTATCAATAATTAAATGTTATAACTAAAGTCTGCATATAAATCCAGTGGTTTACATGACATATGTGAACAAGTAATTCACGAAAATTCCCACACTGGTTAGATTCAGTTGTTTAACTTCGTGTTTCAGAAAACAGCAAGAACCACAACAAGGCTTATTTGGAAGTAGATAAGTTAAGCTTTCAAATAGTCTATGCTGTACAAGTATGAAAGGGGTTTCATGTGAATTAAATCCAAAAAATTTGGACGAGCTCAGTTTTCCTACACTTGAGTGAAAAACAAAATGATATATGATGTAGCACACACACTAGTTCTGGGTGACAGCATAAATCTGAATATATGTATAGTTATAATGTTGTCAATAAATTATGATTAAAAGTGATATGTTAAGTATGGATACTTACATTCCATACTCTTCTCTGTCCAGAAATTTGTCAACTGATCCTCTGTCAAGAGCTTTTATCTTGTACTTCAACTCACCCACTACATGATACAATGTTGACAGGTTCTTTAAAAGCTGATTTTGCTGGCTGTATGTTACAGCATCTATCTCTTGCATAAGCTCCGCCTCTCTCTGTCTCATAAGGAAGTACTGTTCACTGATTTTTTCTTTTATGGTTACTTTCATCTGTTGAGAAAAGCATGTAGAAACTGACTTATAAAGGCTTAGAAATTTGTTACTGGGCTATAAAAGGGATAAAACAAAAATCAACATTTGCTCATATTTATAAGAAAGTCAAAGATATAAGTTTGCATCAGGTAGAAAATATTAAAAGTTTCAAACCTTCTACAATTTGTCTCAAAAGGTTTTGGAGGCATTTGTGATATTTTGTTAATTGATTACCTATGAGCATCGATTAAATTGATTAGTGACACATAACCTAATCAATTAATCAAAATTATGATTAAACTGTTCATTACGAATAGAAATTTATCTGGCCAAGCCTGTCATTTGTTTTAACATTACATTTGTCCTGTTGTTTGTAAGAGTTAATGTCAGTTCAGCATTGTACGCATACATATATATGGATTTTTTTTGCATTGTCACCTAGAAATAAGTGAGATTTAGCTGTTCCATTTCAGCAGAGCCCAAAAAACGTTTTGATTAACATGACAATTCACAGTATTCTTGGTATTTTTAAATACATGATGTGATTTGTACTTTCTGTAAATAAGAATCCCAATTCTGACCAATCAAAAAATCAGAAGGAAACACAAGATCGGTACGACATCATCCAATGTGCAGCTATAAATAAAGGCAAGAAAAGGCAACTAATGTAAAGCAAGTGCTATCCCATCATCATTGTATATTTGTTGGATGTCCCTTTACGAGTACTATTTATGCAAAACTGAAGTAACCGAGGGAATTTTTTCACCCTGAGACATGAAGAAAACAGATTGGCATAACTGTACGAATGAGCATATATGGGAAAGATTTGCCCGAAAAATGTACTGCCTCTCTTGGAAAGATTTGCCCGAAAATTGTACTGACTCTCTTGTAGATGTTTCTATACTTTTGAAAAGATTTCAATAAACATTTTGGATCCCATTAATAAACGTAATAAACATTACGAATTCTTAACAAAACCTCCGAAGTAGTAATAAGAAAGATGTTTTAATTTGAATGTAAAATGAAATTCAGAAGATGTAAAAACATGCAAAGAACCACAACGTCACGTCTACGACGTACCTCTACTACCCTGAATTTTCTTTGTAATAAATACCCAACTTCATATTTTTGTGTGGAAAATAAACTGTATTTTATTGTCATTTGAACAAAGAACAAATTCAATTATTAAATATGTTAATCCTTTCTACCATTTTAAAGTGATTTTGCCAGTTTTATAAACAATATTTAGAGTTTGGGATTTCTTCTTAATGAATGGAATAATTATAATATTAATGATAGTTAACAAAGTAAACATTACTTGTCAAAACAGCTCTTTTATCATGTATCCAAAGAAATTTATTAGAATAATTTAAAACTAATTAATACATTTCAAATGGAAAATTCAGGGTTTATTAAAATATTGAGTTGTACTTATTAGCTGTCATATAACCTTTTATTAAGTCCTTTTGCTTCAAAATTTAAAAGTATAAATTTTACTTTAATGAAATTGATATTGGTTAGTCAGATGGATGAAAATGGATATTGATTATAAGCAAGTATAGGGTTATGCACTATATAAATTTAAAACTGGGCAATTAAATTGATTAATTTATTAGCTACAAGCATCAATTAAATTGATCAATGTCACATAAAATAATCAATTAATCAAAATTATGATTAAATTGATTATCTACGAGCATCAATTAAATTGATTAATGTCACATAAAATAATCAACTAATCAAAATTATGAATAAATTGATTATCTACGAGCATCAATTAAATTGATTAATGTCACATAAAATAATCAACTAATCAAAATTATGAATAAATTGATTATC